GGGGGGAAGAAAGAAAGATATTGTTTGCCTTAGTAGTGAGCTCTCTCTTCTTACAAGGGTGGGGTTTTTTGGGCATTCTATTGCAGTGTTTGTTGAAGGAAATGGCCCGCGCATCATTATTTAACACATGACGCAGCTGGCACAGCCTCCTTGGGTAGTTTTCTCCCGCTCAGATCAGCTTTTCCCCCCACTTGACTCTGGCCCTGACCCTGTCCCCATAAGGAAGCCATAAGGAGGGCAGCGACAATGTGGCTGCTGAGCACTTTCATCCTGGCAACTGGGTGTTCTTGTATGTGCCCTGCTCACCCACTGCCTGCACGTAGGCCATGGGCAAAGGGGACACTCTCTTATTTCAGCTTCGTGCCTCTGATTCTTCTCTTCCCTTCACACAGGTGGTTCTGCACTGCTCTTGCAGCAAAGCCCCATATCCGTCACCAAGCCAGAAAGCAAAACTGTGCTGATCACCTGCCACATCTCTGATCCAGATTTTAACAACGTTTTCATTCACTGGTACCGAAAAAGGCCCAACGCAGCTCCCAAGCGCATTGCCTACATATCCTCCAAGCTCTTCCTTGAAAACCAGTTCAATGAGGGGAAATTCAGTATCGAGAAAGACCCCGCCAAATCTGTCTGCACTCTGATGGTGAGCAAAATAACTCTGCAAGACTCCGCTACCTACTACTGTGCCAGGTGGGATGCACAGCAGTGGAAAGCCATAGGGGACCCGCACAAAGACGTGCTCTGCTTCCTGAACCAGCTCCTGAAGCGTTTGGCAACACACAGGAACATCCCCAGCCGACCTTCCCCACCAGCCTTGCATCAGACACAGTGTGCAGGCAGCCAGATACCAAAGGTGCTGCTGGACTAGTGCACGCTCTGCAGACCCGTGCTGCAGCCAGAACCAGCAGAGCTCTTACTTCACTCTTTCCAAAGCAATCAGCAGCAGCCTTGCCTCTGAAGAATGACTTGGAATTGCACAGATGAATTTCTATATTTTGCTTGCCCTATTAGTCTTTATTTTAAACTGAGCCTAGGGGAGCTCTAAAGCATTTGTGTTTCTTTGCATCAGACCCAGCATTTGGAGATGCCATCCTGGGGTGTAACATCTCACCTTACCTGGCAC